ATTAATATATTGAGTTCAGTGTATGATTTCTTTTATGTAAAGACGTCAATAAAGTTTTGGAGTTCCGTGAAATATGAAAGTTTCAGCTAATTTTTGGCCTAATATTCTTGTATGTCATATTCAACTTCATACAATTCCGAAAATTTAAGGAGATAGGCAAAGAGATAGGTGTTTAAAGATCTTGGAAATCAGTGTCAAACAAATGAAAATAAAAAATCGCGATGGATTGAGGATCTCTTTCGTTTTTATTGTCGGTTAAAAATTAATAAACACGATCTGAAACAAACTTTATCATAATAGGGCAACGTCTGAACCGGAAAATTCCGAAGAGTTTTGGTTTCAATCCAAACACTCCGCGCTCCGTTGTTTCCCAACACAAACACGCGGAGAGCTTGCAGGGCGAACTTTCATTAGATTTTCGTAGGTAAGTTATTCAAATCACTCCCATTCCACATGCGATAAGTGTTACGGAGCGCTGAGTTCACATCAAAGTTCGCGGCGGGAACAAACCGGTTCTTCCCCCGTGGTCCAAATTAGGAAGCCGACGTGCGGCGCTCGGGGTGCTTGCACAAATGGCTCACTCAAATAGCTCACCATTTACTTGTCATTTACTGAGGCATAAAGTTACATGCTGTGTGGTTAGCCTGGCCAGCCCCGAGGCAGTGCCTTTATTTTTATTTTTTTATCCCGCCCGAGCCGCGTATAGAGTAGGAACACAAATTGTAATAAAAAAGAGAAAATTTTTGCATTAGAAATTTTCTCTTTTTTAAGTTTGAATTAGAATGTGACTTTCTTAAAGAGAATCTTGTAAATTCCTACTAAGAAATAAATTATTGAATTATGAATTATGAATTGAATTAGTACTAGCGTCGATTTTGACGCAATAACTGGAATATCAGGGGAACTCAAGACAACTAAGAAGATGGTTACCACGAACTTCATATTTCTTGGATTAAAATTTGCTCAGAATTATAAGACGTTCTTGTACCAGATTTTGCTGTTTTATGTATACTCTGAGATATTTGACAGTAGCAATCCTTGCTTTGTAAGAAGTGACAATCGCAAAAATTCTGAACATGGTCGAGGGAACATTCTCCAGCGTTCCTAAAATACTTACTGTTCCTCGTGTCGTGACGTCACTGGGTCTACGTAGGTATTCCATGTAGATAAATGCTATAAAACAATGAGTTCCGAAAACCGATGATGCCAGATGAATCGATAATGGCTTAAAGAAGGTGGCTGGTAGCGACTGGATGACGAAAACGAGATGTCAAGCCTTTTTTGACATACGCATCCATCGACGCAGAGTTGCGCGTTTGACCATGGACGTATAAAAGGGCGGACAGAGTCGCGCTAATAAAACCTCTGTGTAGCCCCAAGTCAGCCAGTTGGCTGTACGTACAAGAATGCACGCACACATTCACACCAAACCCAGCCATTCTGAACGCAAACGTCAGCCTACCCTACCGATCTTTGCAAAATAAACAAAAACAAAACATCATGTCGTGCGTTGTAATAATTTGAAAAAACAGCAGAGATCAAAGGAATAAAAGTTCGGGAATCCCGTTTCACAGGTAAATTAATAATTTGATCACTCAATTTCATGTTTTAAATTATTAAAATTAGCCTCCAACTGAGGGCTGGTGTTGCCATTATTCACGTTATAAATTTGCCTAAAGTATAGGTAATTATTGGGTGAGTGGGTTCAAAAAATTCGGTTTCACCACATCTTAAAATTAGAAAACGAGACAAGAATTTCTCAAAGCAAAAGAACGTATTATAAAAACTTACTCAACATATGGGATGTAAGTCGTAAATAGAACAATTCAATATTATCGTATTAATTTATTGGTTAAAAAAAATCCTAACATGGCAATCCTAATTCACTCACACAAGTTTATCCGCCGCCATTACGGTTATTCAGTTTTGACATAACTGGCATTCTGTCCGCCCTTTTATACGTCCATGGCGTTTGACATAAACCGTATTCGTATGAAGGCAGTGTGGAGAATCTAATGAATGACGCACAAACAGATGTTGCATGTCTTCTTCGAGTAGGACACCAAGTCGTGCAATGACCCGATAAACCCTGGTGTCAGAGATTTTTCAACCCCCTACTGCAAGAAGTAGTAGCAGACCCCACAGAGCCTAGTGGAACATTGACGTAGCCCTCGTTAGAACAACCCACACGACCGCAGTTTGCTGAACGCTTCAACATGTTGAAAGCCGCTAACTTTATATTACCCTTTCTCTTCGGATAATTACGTGTGGTTTTGCTCTTAGATACCGTTTCGTGCAAATACAAACTTTCGCATTATCTGCTCTAAGGGAACTTTTTGCTTGTCTTTGATCCAATTAAATTTCTGATGCTTCGCTTTATTGGAGAATGGAAGTGGTCTGTTGTTACGGCAACCGCTGTAAACTTGTTTGGTAGTTAAACATTTAGCTAGTTGTTTTAGCACTGTAGTATAGATGTAAGCCCGGTTTAAAACCAATTCAACCAAATTGTTTTAAACGAAAAAAACCGTTTTAAATCATAAACAACCGTTTTTTTCGGTTTAAAACGGCGGATGGTTGATAACAATGTTTTATTGATTTTAATACATTTTCGTAATATTACAAAGGTAAGGATCACTGAAATGGATTAATGATGTGATTTTGCGGGTTTATTACCTAGTTTGTCGCTCCGAGGCCCGAGCGTAGGTAACCTATGATGAGCAAGTCAGTGTAAAATCGTTGGAAACACCGAATTTTGTATATACAGGGTTATATTAATAATTTGGATGTTCCATACAAAAATTCATACCTAAGTACCTACTCGGCAAAATTTTTTTTTGCATTTCGGCACGATTTTTCTACAACGGCCCTGAAATATTAGTCAGACGTGGCGATAGCGGCTGTATTGTAGGTACCTACGGCTGTTTACGCTCTGCCTACCCCGCAAGGGATAAAGGCGTGATTTGTGTATGTATGTATGTGTATGTAAAACACAGAACTTTTTTTTTTTTTGTAGGCGAGTTTTAAACGGTTGAAAACGGTTGATTTCAGGTTTTAAACCGCGAAATTTGGTTTTAAACGTTTTAAACCGGTTGATTTACATCTGTACACTGTAGTATAAAATTAATAAGTAACTGGTTGACTGAAATTCCTCGGTTTTGTAGATGATGGCGTTGTTAGTTTATAAAAAACTCGCAAAAAAGGGTGAAGCAACGATCGATTTATCGATAGACAATAGAAATGATTATAATGTTAATTTTTATGAAGTCTGCAGATTACCGAGTAGGCTGGCATTTAATTGGATGCATTCGATCTCTACCTACGCCAAGTAAGTAGGTTCTACATAAACATAGGTAATATATACCTAACCTATCTGTACTTAAATGTTGAGATTAGTAACAGTACTTTTCTCTCATACCTATTATAGGTAAAAATTCTTATTATATTTGAGACGGCCACTGGCTGCATTCGCCGCCGTATATCAGTTTTATAGCGCTAAAGAAGTGCCATACAACTGTCATACGGTGACGAATGCAGCAAGTGGTCGTCTCAACTATAACAAGTATGACTTCAGAAAGAATGCTCTAGAACCCTGTTAAATTTATTTCACTGTACTTATCACATCACAAATTCAAACTTTTCAAACCGCCGTTTCATGTTAAAAACGGCACCTAAACAATGCTGTTTTTTAAGATAGTTAAACACTTTATTGCTTACATTCACGATACAAAACATATTACGAAGAATTGAGATACCGATATGTCCATTAAGTTGAAAGTTAAATAGTCAAACAAAGACCTAGTATTTACAAACAGAACAAAAATACGTAAAAAATAAAATAACGAATTGACGAAGACCACTCCTGGAAGAATTGCTAACCATGTCTCGCTCAAGAGCAATAAAAAATTGCAATTATGAACTGACTACATCCAATCCAACCGTTACGACATTGTGTGTCCACTTTGTATACTAAACAAACTGGTTTATAATTATTTATACGGTTATTGCTAGATGAACACTTTATTGCTTACACACACAATACAAAACATATTATGAACAATTGAAATACCGATTTGTATATTAAGTTGAAAGTTCCACTTGGCCAGTTCCAAGCTTAAAGCGATATTGACAATGGCGGCTCGAGACCGCCTCGGTACTCCGCACTAGTTTTTATTTATCGAACAAAGATCTAGTACTTACAGACACGGCATACTTACGTTGAAAAATTAATAAATTAATTAAGGTATTTAGCCACTGCTTGATGAAGACTACTTCACTTAAATTATTGTTTGAAACGGGATTATTACCGTGATTATATTTTTGTTTACCTCGATATTTCGAGGCGGTTGCACGCCTCATGGTCACAAGTAGACTAGCTCGGCGAGTGATGTCATCTTTCTAAGGGCAAACATATCTGTCTACCCTCTTTCGGATTCGTCGACTGCGTTCTACACGGTTACTCGAATCACTACTATTGTCACTCACTATTTTGTCACGATCACGACACACCACACTAACAGTATCACTTCGCGAGTTAGAAGTCGAGTGTTTTTTGCGGTTGTATACGTTTAATACTGGATTCCACGCACTGGACAGCTTGAAACCATCTTCACGATTAAAGTTTTTATATTTTGTGATTTCGATGGCTTCTCGCACTAAACGAGGTATATAGTGACGTTCCGTTGACAGTACTTGCGGGTTATGTAGTTCAATCCAGTGATTAGTTTCCGCTTGGTTTAGGTGTTCCGCTATGGCTGACTTCTGGGCATCGTTGTTTTTTACAGCTCTGATATGTTCCTTCATGCGGTCAACTATTGTTCTTTTGGTCTGACCAATGTACGAACTCCCACAGCTGCAATTAACTTTGTAGATATAATCACGGTAATAATCCCGTTTCAAACAATAATTTAAGTGAAGTCTACTTCTACATACGGTTGCCTGAATAGGCCATATTTGACAGCTGTCAAAATCATAAATTAAAATATTAATTGTAAAAAAATTCGTGCATCGAACGGGGATTGAACCCGGGCCGCATGGGTTAACGCCCCACCGCTCTGCCACTGAGTTATCGATGCACCGGTCGATCCCCGGTCGATGCATGGCCATTTTTTCAATTTCTTATTTTCATTTATGAGAATAATATAGCACTGTGAGTGTTTAAATTCCCAATAGATTGTCAAAACCATGTTAATGCTATATATCATGTTAATGACATAAGGTATATTATCAATGTTGATATGTCTCCCAGTATGAGCTAGAAATCTGTCAATTACGGCATGTCCAAACGGCCATACTTAAAAATACTAACTATATCTCACTCAAGAGCTATCAAAGAGTGCAATTTATGAACTGACTTCTTCCAATAACTGCCTGCAACCGCTACGACATTATGGGTCCACTTTGTATACCTACTAAACAAACTGGTTTATAATTATACGGTTACTGCTTCGCAACCACCTCTTTCTAAAAAGAAAAGTCTATAAATGAATTATCTTCTTTGATGCTATGGTATCCCGCTCGTACAAAGGGCTTGAACAAACTTCCATCTTCCTCTGTCTTGCGTTATGGATTTGGCTTGCTCCCTCGCTGTCCAAAGAGCGTCGCCATGTGTGGTCTGAAAGGTCTTCTTCTCCTATAACCGCTTGAGTTCCATTCGAACGATGGTTGCAGAATTAGCCTCCTGTCTATAAAAAGTTTGACCTATCCACCTCCACTTGCTATGCGTTCTTTAAATGAATGGTCTATGATATTTACTTTACTTTATTTTTTGTTTGCGCAGACTCGACGCCAATGAGTGTATTGCAGGTAAACAATGAAACTCCTGTTCCGTTGAGATAATATTTTATGAAAGGATAGCCATTGTGTGCTATCGTACCGGCAGATTTTTGTAATATATTTTAAATACTTGCTCATTTAAGAGGTCAACTTATAGTGATTTCACGATCCTCTATTAGCATCACCCCAATTCTACCCGTGGGTGTCGTAAAAAGCAACAGGGATATTTATCCAGGTAAAGGGCAGTAGCGTTTTGTGGAGTTTTAGGCGCAAAACAACGAAACGTCCGTTTGTGCATCGTTTGTTCCATTTTCTACCTTGTTCGTATACAAATACGGTTCATGTCAAACGGTTTGACAGACGCATCCATCGACGCAGCGTTATGCGATGCCATTTGACATAATCCGTAATAGTATTATGGTAGGGTTGAGAATAAAATGAATGACGCACAATTGAACGTTGCGTGTATTTCTCGCCAAGATTATTTATAGGTCAAAGTTAAGTAACTCTATTACAAATGGCTTTTACGGTAATCGTTCTATAATTTTATCAACCCAAAACTCCAGCTCAATTTAGGGGACTTGTTAAACAATTGATCGGGCTCTCAACCCTAATTCTACAAAGTTTCCCCCGGGCGTATGGTAATTTTCTCTGCTAAATTTAATCTTTGTCCTTCATTTTATTTTAAGAAATATTTGAACCTATGATGAAGTCCCTAGAGTAAATCCATTTACGCCTAATTAATCAAATCTTTCTTTAGAAAATAAAAATATTTACTTATTAGGTAATACAAATATTACAGATGTGTTTGCAAGGAATGCTGCTGCTTAAGTTGACATGTATCCACAGTGTGGTTCAGGATGGTAGGCTTAAAAACCAAGCGTGTCTTTGACGCGCGTCTTTGTCGCTGTCAAATGACTGGTTTGTATGGGGAACCAGAAAGACCGAGCGTCGGCGTTGTTGCAGCGCGCCACGACGCCGTCACGTTGACAGCGCGATGAGAAGCTTAGAGTTTGTATGGTTTGCGGTCGGGTTTTTCTACAAGACCGCAGCGACAACGACTCTGTCAAACAACGACGGCGTCTAAATTTGACGGCGTCGTTGACGCGCGTCGTCGTCGCGACGCTTGGAAAATAAGGGTACCAAGGTTTATGGGTAATCTTCGCCACTGTTGTTGACCACACATTGTGTTTTCAAACTTCGGTTAGTTCTTTGTGCTATCTGTAAACTCCAGTTCTAAGTGGCAGTAACAATAACACTAGGATCGTTTAACTAGGAGCAGTCGTCCTGCCGGCAAATGTCGCAGACAGCGGCGCACCTGGGTAGTTCACAGGCTTAATAAGGTCAGTTTGTTACTTAGTTGGTTCTAGGCTTAGCAAAGGAATGAGAAGAAATATTATTTCGTCTGAGTACGACCGATATATCGTTTTTTTTACAGCTGTGATGTGTTCCTTCATGCGGTCAACTATTTAGGTTTGACCAATGTACGTACCTAAGTACGCATTTATTGTACGCTCTCCAATCGTTGTCTGTCACATACAAAGTTCGTAGAGGATATCTACGTAGCAATCCTCTACGATGAAGATGCTACGATGACGTCATCGTAGCATCTTGCTACGCCGTAAGAATGAATGGTGAAGCTAAAAGTCGGAAAACTGGAAACACAAAAATGTTTTTCCAGAATGTGTACGTATTTTTAGCATAATTCTTATGCAAGCCTTTCATTTATAGAAGGAACGTCGACCATTTTGATGTTTTCTTAACAGGAGAGTTTACGGTACAAAATTGCTCCAAGATGAGATTTAATTCGGCCAACAGCTTACGGCTTTTGAATATCAAATGAGCCCGTTAAATATTTGAGCTTACTTAGAATAATAAAATATACCCTTATTTTAAATAGTCAGCTGACTTTCTTAGATTAAAACTCTGTATTAGTTCTCGTTTTCTTATCAGTTTTGTAACAATTTGTTGGTTAATTAAGCGGTTCAACCTAAATTGATCACAAAATGAGAAGCGAGCTGATAAGATACCAAAATCCTTTATTGTAAACAATATTGCAGAAACTTAATATTGAGCCAAAACTTTATTTAATAATTCTAAAGTTTGACAAGCGATATCTTTTATTTAGATTTATTTGGATCTAAACATAGTTGCTAAATCGGTAACTAGGTATCAAACCAATGAGCCACCTATACCGGGAGAATAAAATCGCTGATCAGCTGATTGATTTACCATGGGAGGTTTTTATCATATTTCGACCCATATTTTATGGGGAAAGTTGTTCTGTTTCATGAGTATGTTGACCTCCTTTTAACACGTTCGCTGCTGAGCGATTTTTAGTACAAAGCCCGCCGTGCTGACGAATCGCACCTTGTAGGTGCGCCCGCACGGCCGTCGCGTCTAAATCAAGATTTTGCTACAGCTGTGCGGGCGCACCTACCAGGCGAGTCAACTTGTATTACACCAGTGCGGCGCACCTACCGGGCGCCTTTACCTACATTGCCCAGTCAATCTGCAGTGTGTACCATACCATAATACATTATTATAAAGTTATAGTTACGTTTAGCCTACCCAAGGATAAATCTGGAATGAGTAGGTATAATAGGGATATGCCAGGCTGAAGTGATCAAAGGCAAGATGGTCAAGCAAGGTAATAAACCTGAGGCACCTGAGTACAGTAAAGAGACTCGGCCCGTTTCTGGAAATGAGTACCTACCTACAGCCAGTTGTCTTGTCAGTAAGGGTTGTCACTTTCGGATAGGTACTATATTTTTTTGGTTTAAAGCTGATTAAAATAAAACCTACCTAGATTTATTTATTGCCCTCGAAACCCACTAAGTTTGAAATTTTGTAATAGGTACTTGTAGGTAGCTAGATGAATAAAAATGTACCTATTTTTGATTCAATATTTTGGATGAAAACCTAATTTTAAATCAGTCAATTACCTTTCAATATCTGCAGGCAGGCAAGCCAAAAAACGTAAGTTCTGGTCTCAAATTATATAACAATGAGAATAAAATAAAAAATATGCACTAGCGCGTAAACCAAAAAACACTGTATGTGTACAAACGTCTTTTATTGAAATTTGCTTTTTATGAATAACTTAAAACATTTGAACTTTTTATGACTTGAACTAATGGATATTGGTAATACCTTACTAGCCATTCCAATTTTACACAAAATGACATTAAATAAACAGAAATTTAATTAAAATACAGTAATCTGCTTCTGCGTGATGAACATACATCATAAATATTGTGGCTTTGTAAAGCAAAAACATTGTATTGGTTCATACAGTGTATTTCTTTTACAATAATACTGTAGCGCAAAGTAGGGATGGAGTTAGCCTATCAGCAGCAGAGTGCTCTGATATGGTTGCAATGACCTCTAACATGGTTGCAGAGTCCTCTGACATGGTTGCAGCGTTCTCTGACATGTTTGTAATGACCTCTGACATGGTTGCAGGGTCCTCTGACATAGTTGCAGAGACCTCTGACATGGTTGCAATTACCTCTGACATGGTTGCAGAGTCCTCTGACATGGTTGCAATGACATCTGACATGGTTGCAGAGTCCTCTGACATGATTGCAGCGTCCTCTGACATGATTGCAGAGTCCTCTGGCACGGTTGTACTGACCTCTAACATGGTTAGAATGACTTCTGACATGAATTCGGAGTTCTCTGACGTGATTGCAGAATCCTCTGACATGGTTCCAGAAACCGTTGACATGGTTGCAGAGTCTCTTATATGGCTACAATGACCTCTGACAAGGTTGCAGAGGCCTCTGACATGGTTGCAGAGGCCTCTGACATGGTTGCAATGACCTCTGACATGGTTGCAGAGTCCTCTGACATGGTTGCAGAGTCCTCTAACATGGTTGCAGCGTCCTCTGACATGATTGCAGAGTCCTCTGACACGGTTGTAATGACCTATGAAATGGTTGCAGCGTCCTCTGGCATGGTTGCAGAGTCCTCTGACATGGTTGCAATGACCTTTGACATGGTTGCAGAGTACTCTGACATAATTGCAGAGACCTCTGACGTGTTTGCAATGAGTTCTGACATGGTTCCAGAGACCACTGACGTGGTTGCAATGAACTCTGACATGGTTCAGAGGCCTTTATTTTGATGGCAGAGTCCCCTGATATAGTTGCAGAGGCCTCTGATATGAATACAGAGTCCTCCAACATGGTTGCAGAGGCCTCTGACATGGTTGCAGAGACCTCTGACATGGTTGTAATGACCTCTGATATGGTAAAAATGACCTCTGACATGAATTCAGAGTCCTCTGACGTGGTTG